ACTCATTTCTAGAAAAACACCAAGAATTTTTTTCGAAGTTATGATCTGAGTGACCATTAACATGCTGGCACACCTGTGCGTAGTTAATTTACTACAAACGTCTGAAAAATCATATTTTCCCTGAGCTAACTTTCACTTTCTCCCTAAGCTAACTTTCACTGACCTTGGCCTCTAAAGGTTCCTTAAAAAGATACCACTCAACCTTCGCAAAGTTTAATAATGTGACAAAAACGTTGCTTTTAAGTCTCAAATGGCGCCTACTTTTGATGGAACCTTTGAGGAATCTTGTCAATATAAATGCAAATAGCAATTTAAAAAATGAATGGGTCAAAACGAAAACTACTGGGACCTGAAAGAATCAAAGGAATACTTTCAGCCGATCACAAAAAGAAGAATTTCATTAGCATTCATGAGATGGTCTTGTTTGCATTTAAGTATATATTTTGGCCTATACATCAAGAAAAAATTAAGCAAAAATTTTTTTTCTTATTTTTTGTGTGGGATATTTTGTTTTTACAAAATCCCGCAAGTAGAGATTTCTTTCTGGTCTGGAATGGCTTTTAGCGTTTACCAGGGGCGCCCAACGTCTTTACAAAGAGCGTTTGAATCCCTGACGTTTGAAACGGTTACAATTTACTTTTTATTTGTTCCACAAGTTTTCAACTCAAGATTAAGGAAGCCGTGCCTTCATATCATGGTTTTCTTTTTACTTTATTTAGGTACGTACTTTAATTAACATTTAGCTGTATATTGTCGCTCACACGTACTGTACATATTATGTAAGGTTTTTTTTAAGTTTCTAATAAAGTTGATTTTAAAAAATATGTATATACATATCGTATTGTAGGACGGTCGAAAACGCAGCTGAAAACGGTCAAAAACGCATCAAAATTAAAACGATGACGTCATATGTACTATGTAGGTTGCAAAATATCGCAGGCGCGTGTAGCATGCGCATAGAGTTCAGGTTACGTCACAACGTGCAATTCTTTCCTTTTCAAATGGTTTAGCGTGGATAGTCGAAAACGCATCAAAAGAGTAGCGTAGACGTAAATCGATCGATGCATTTTCGATGACAACGAAAACGCATTAGTTTAAATTAAGTCTGTTAGCCCAATGGGAAAGTTATTTAAAATAAATTCTGTTAAAGGATATTTCTATAATATCACCTAACTCCTCTCTCCTATGGAGGGCTCCTAAAGTCGACTATTGCAATAGCTTTAAGTTTATTACCTTTACTATGAGGCTACATCCACACGAATCCGGGTAAGCTGAAACACGCATTGATGATATTTGCGTCTCCATGACTTCTGTGTGGAGTATCCGCCGTTTGGATTCAGCCATCCACACGAATAGGCTACTGGGGCATGGCGATTTACATTTATTTTCTAATTACTAGTTAGTAAGCATGTGCAAACAGAGCTGCGATGTAATTTCGCAACATTTCTGAATGTTGTTGCAGCTTTATCGAGCACAATGGCCGGTCCTGCCTCTACGTTGTCTCACCAGGCACTTGTTCGCGTAAGACGAACCTAAAATCGACTTTCAGAATGCCGAGGTTCCGACCTTCGTCTCGAACTTAAAGATTTCACAATCAGAATGAGATTAAGTCTTCGATCTTTTGAAATGGCTAATTTTTGTCGTCAAATTAGCACAATGCATGAGATAAGAATGGCGATAAGAGCAAGCAAAGTTGCAAACAGAACATCGTAGAGTCATTGTAATGTCCATCATTTTGAATTTGAGAGTTTTCATTTGAGACTACACTCGCGTTCGTGACGTAGTTGAAAAAAAAATACCCATTTTCAGTCGTCCACACGAAATAACTAAACCCGTCGGATCAAAAAAAAAAATCCAATTTGGAGAGCGATTTCAAAATATCGGCCGGTTCACTGGTTTTGTGAGGACGGAAGGCTGATTAGCATTAAAAAAAAAAGTACGCTGTTTCAAACATTTCCGGATTTGTGTGGACGGGACACACAGTAAAATGGCTGACTTTGTTACAAAGGCGCTTTTTTGCTCGTCACGTGATACACAAATAACGACGCGCTAGGGTGGTCTACGTATTTATGTCACATCCTTTCCCTTTTAAAAAGAAAATAATAATAATAATAATAATAATAATAATGTCTCAGTCCTTGGATTTCAAATAAAATCAAAAGCTAAATAAAAAGAAAGTTCTTAGTCTCTGACTGTGTCTAGAGTTCCAACCGTTTTGGTTTGAGTACTTGTCTGCCACTTCGGGTAACATAAGCCTCTGAACTGTCTCCCTCGGGTGGTTCAGGATTGTGGTGTTGCCACGGAGGTGGAATTACAGGTGACACTGGTGGGGCTGGTGGAATTACAGGCGACACTGATGGGGCTGGCTACTCAGTCTGGTCCTTGGACAAGTTGTGGTGCATTACCGTCAAGAGACCACTCTGCATCTAAACTTCTAGGTCCTGGACTGGGAAAACTCGCAGATGCTGCCTGTTGCGGCGATAGTTTCTGCCATCATCTGCTTGAACTACATAGGACCTTGGTGTGTGGTGATGTCTGACTACTGTCGCTGGCTTCCACTTCTCTGGAGTCGGTCCAGGGCTGCATTCGCACTCTCATTCCCGGCTGTAGTTCCTTCAATTCGCTGCTAGCATGTCAGTCATGGTGCTTCTTCTGGTCCTCTTTCATCTTCTTCAGGTACTTGAAGACATCCTTTTGGTTGACATTAGCAGGTTGAAGCAAGCTGTCCATCATCGTTAATCAGTTTCTCAGGCGACGCCCCATCAGCAACTGTGCTGGTGACAATTCGATGCCTGGTATTGGCGTTGTCCGATAGTCAAGTAAGCCCGATATTTGTCACTATTCTTTCGCCACAGGTTTTTTACGGTCTGAACGGCTCTCTCTGCCTCTCCGTTAGCCTTTGGATGGTGTGGAGAACTGGTGACATGCTTGAAACCGTACTCTTTCCCAAATCCTTGGAATTCGCTGTTGCTGAATTGGGGGCCGTTATCTGAGACC